TTATAAATTCTAGGAATAACAAAAAGTCTGACAAGAAAGTAAATTCAATAATAACATAACACAGCTAAACTGTGAGGCACTATGCAAAAATCAGTCATGTAGATATGGAATACTTTAAAAATCATAATTTGTAATATATCTAGCTATACTGAGAGTATGGGGCAAAGAAAAAAAAGAGATTTGGTTTGTAGAGGGGGTTGTGTTTGTGAGGAGATAGTGTAAGTGAGCTGAAGCTTCATCTCTTATAGAATCAAATAACTGACATATTGAGAAACAGCAGTCTATGGAATAAATGAGAGAAAATGACTTAATGAACTGAAGTGGTCACCTTGGGAAGCAGAAATAAAGAATGAAGAGGATGAAGCTTCTCCTCCTCATTATAAGCTTTCTGGCCCTGTTCGACTTTCTGAGCTATATCATATATTATTTGGATAAAATAATCACACACACACACACACATGCGCGTTCGCTAAACGAAAAAAAGGACTCCTTGCCGAAACCGGTTTGGCTCAGCGGTAGAGCGTCGGTCTGCGGACTGAAAAGACCCGGGTTCGATTCCGGTCGAGGGCATGTACCTTGGTTGCGAACATATCCCCGGTCAGGGGTGTGTAAGAGGCAACTGGTCTATGTTTCCCTCTCCTCGACGTTTCTAGCTCTCTATCTCTCTCCCTTCCTCTCTGTAAAAAATCAATAAAAAAAAAGAAAAAAAGGACTCCAAGATGTTAAAGTTAAGGAAAATATATCTTCAAAGGGATTCCTATGATGGCTATTAAAATTGGAGCTCTATTTTTTTTTTTTTTGTTGTTGAGATTTCATGGTTAAAATTTTTACAATGAGACACCTCACATGTTACCCAACAAATTTTGGTAAAATTAAATGGAAAAGTAAAAACATTCTATAAAACATGAAAACACATGTACTCATTCTGATACACTCAGCCATATTCCACAAACAGCATGCAAAGTATTAATAAAATAGCGTAGTCATCCTATTCTCTAGCCCTATGATTGCAACTACTAAAAATGAACATCACACCTTGGAAATGATTCACTCTCCACTGCTCTGGGTAAAAGGTATCCCTGGGCCAGGGTGCTTGTCACTTGCTTGACCCCCTCCTTTCAGAGTTGCTCCACTGTTTCTGTTTGTCAGACACAGAGACCGAGCTTGCCTTTCCTGCAATCTCACTGTTGTTCCACTGGTTCAAGATAACCACCTGCTATCAAAGGATCCCTTTCAGACTGGCCTTTCCAGTTCTTCTGTTTGATCTCAAAAGCAGCTCTGTGTTATTTGTGCTAATGCTCTCTCCGCTGGAGCTGAGACTCCACTGCAAACATACTTTTATTCTGAACACTGATAATGACCATGTTTAATGATTTATTAAACATTCTAATGTTTAAGATGCAGTGTAAGGTACTATGAGAGAGAGAAAGGGGAGAGAGAGGGAGAGAGAGAGAGAGAGAGAGAGAGAGAGAGAGAGAGAGAGAGAGAGAGAGAGAGAGAGAGAGAGGCTGTTCTCAAGAAACAAAAATATTAGAAAAAAAATAACAGATAGACTTGGCCAAAGTAAGTTCTGGTCATTTCATCACAGAATCACATATTTAAAAAACTAGAGAATAGCCCAGAAAGTATTAATACAATACGAAAAAAAGTGAAAAGAGAAATGATCAAAGAATTAATACGAGAACATAATCCAGAGAAGACTTGAAAGTTCATAATGGTGGCAGTTTCACTGATACTTTCCTTGTCGCTATCTTAGCTGAGATTTTATAAGAATTCAGAGCAGATGACAGGAGTGAGAAGAGAAGGTGGAGAGAGAAGAGGAGAGTGTGAGGAGAAGGGTTTGGAACTACCTATCTGCTAAAGCAGGGGTCTATAACTAATACTGTATGTAAATGAGTCAAAAATAATGGCCCCATCTCACTCCAACTGGCAAACTGAAAAAATAAGAATGTTTTTAAAAAAAAAAAAATAATTAGCATAAACTTTTTTAAAATAGGGGATTTCCCTTCCTTAAAAACTATCTTTCTTGATGGTAGAATTAACATACAGGTATGACAGAAAACTTGATAAATTATGGAGGGAAACCAGTAATCATAATTTTTTTCAACCAAATATAGCATTCTTAATATCTTAGTTATTTGGTATTTTTCTATATGTATTAAAAACACAATCTGGATTATAATATATAAGCTGTTGTACTATCAATCTGCTTACTTCACTCTTTCTATGAGCATTTCCACATGATAATCACTCAATAACATGGTTTTCATGTCCATTATTTTTCCAAAATTCTTATTTTGGTCACAATTTTCCACTTTTGTAATGAACACCCTGCACATAATCTTTATACATAAATCTTTGCTCAATTCTCTAATTATAAGGAATACAAGATGAATTCTGAGAAGTGAAATTTCTTGATAAAACATATTTAAAATTTTGAAAAAAAGTTCTTCTTGGATGCTTTCTAGGTTTGGTCCCCTCTTTTTTGAAATATCTAGAAACTGCGTGAATTTCTGTTCATTTCTGAGAGGAACTGCATTTTCTGCAATTGTCCCAACTAAGTAAACATCTATAGAAGATAATTATGTTGAAATCAATGTTCTAGTATTACTGGCTTTGGTGCTCAAGTCATTCATTAAATCTAAGTGTTGCTCATGGTCCTTGTGGTCAACAAAGAATCAAGCGAATTTTCACAAGCAACATCAGAAAACAAATTTGAACTACACCTACGTATAATTACATTTTATGTCTCGCTTGTAATTCGTGCATGTCTTTGTGCCATGTACTCGCACAGAGTGCAAATGAATGATTCTGAGAGCTATGTAAATACTGCTCCACAATCAGATAAAAGCATGAAATAACTGGTATGTTTGCAGAAGGATATTCACATGTTTATATGTGTATTTTGAAGCTTGTTTCAAACAGTGGTATGTTAATATTTCATTAAAAAGCATGCTTTTGCTTGATGGCTCTGTATGAGGTTAAGAAGTGATTATTCTAACAAAGCCTCGAGAACGCAGATTCTGTCCACCCTGAAAATACCTCGTGAGATGGAAGGACCAGAGGACAAGCCCATAGATTTAGTCCAGGAAACCATCACCTTCATCTCTTCACCTGACTGAGCCCTTTCCAAACATGAGCTCTATGGCTGAAGGCCTCAGTTACTCATAGTGAGGCAAGCGTAAGGGCCTGAAATAAGTACCTTTAAAATTCATGTCCCAGCAAAGAAAAGAACTTCATCCCAAGTTAGCAAATTTCAAAAGACATTCAGTCAGAGGTAGGGGGGTGGGGGTTGAGGATGGGTTCATACTGCACCTACATGTCTGCAGAGCCTGAGAATTAGAACTAATCATCTTTGATCTGGCTCGGAGGAGATATGTTACTGTAGCTGGCAGATGTAGAAGCACAATTTGCATTAAGATGAAGACGAGACCATTCTGACAGCTTGCGATCTCATAAACCTTGGATACACCCGGGCTTCAACAAACATCCTTGTGCACTGCCTATATTTTTGCCTGCTTCAGAACTTAATACTGAAGTGTATAAGATGTTACACCTTTCCAATGGTGTGTGTGTGTGTTAATAAAACCAAAATAATACATAAAAATTCACATATCAATGATGTTTTCCTACCTGCGACTGACTGCAGTTGACGTAAACCAAGCTACATTTTTATTTCTCCAGACTGAATTTCTTTAGAGCCGGCTGGCATGTGCCGACAAGAAACCACTGTGAGGTTTTGGGATTGGAAGGCTGTGAAGGGCAGGAACCAAGCCACACATCTCAGGCCTGTCTCTGCAGGCCAGCACCACTGCCAGCTCTGCGGCCTCTGACAAGCTCAGGGCGGTTGGGTGGATATGAGGCGGGAGGGGGGTCACACCAGGAGACCGAAGATGCAAGCAGTTGCCTAGTGATACAAGACCTGCCTGCATTACTTCTGATGCGTCCAACTGTGGACACACATCCGAGCACTAGTTAGAACTTGTATGCACACGAGGGCCCTTTCAGCAAAGACCTTTCCGCAAAGCCTCCAACTGCAATGCAAATGTCGGCATCCTGCGAGGAGGAGGGCACAGAACAGCGGTAGGCAGGACAGTGGCGGCTGATAAATTCACCGGTGTATGGAGTAGCACAGTAGAACAATGCACTTCCCCACTCTCCTCTCCTGCTAGGCAGAGGAAGTGATACATTGAAGGAGCTTGGCCTGTTGCCACAGTGGTCAGGATGAGGAGGTGAATGCTTATCAATGAGTATTCACTCCCCGTTGGCTGACACTCAATTTTTCCAAGGATCTATTCCCTGCTGCCCAAACCAGGAAGCCAGGAAGTGAGAGAGAGGAGACTTTATTTGGATACTAAGGTCCAGTTACCATCAAATGTCCCCGAATTAGAGCTGAATACACTGGAGAGATTTGACTGCACTCCCATGTCACGAGCTTGAAGCAGCTTCTAATTGCCTTAGTTCAGCGCCAAATCCTACAAAAATCTACCCTGCAGGTCACTCTGAAAATACAGAAAACTCTCCCAGATTTGAACATCAAGAGCCCAAATGTCCAGGATTCATAACTAGGCAAAGGCTGTTGAGGGCTTCATCAAACTGTGGTAGCGATCCCCAAAGGCTCTGGCCTTCTCACCTGGCTGCAAGTAGGACTGGATGACCCGGGAGGTAAGGAGACCGGCTCTGGCCCCGGGACCGCGACAGCCCTGCCTCCCTCAGAGTGAGGACCGTATGTAATTTTTCATTTCTGATCTGCTGCTGGGAATCTAAGACATTTGATTCCCAGCCATTCAAATACAGGCAAGTTAATTGGGCTAACCTTTTCCATCTCTTAGAGAAAAGGAAGGGAAAAACCCCCAAGCCCAAACCTGACAACCCTACGAGGACCTGTAGGAAGCATTTCCGCGAGCAATTAAAACCCTGCAGGTGCCAAACCATCACACGCGGACAGTCTGAACCACACCAGCGGTAGGGCGCAAGGTGGGCATGGCTCTCACACCTACCTGACCGTGGGATGGCAGTGCGGCGTACGCCAGCGGCTGGTTCATCACTCCTTTCTGCTTCATGAGAAGCATGCGCTTCTGGTCCTCACTCAGGTGCGCCCGCGGAGCCTGGAGCTGCAGCTGCGGCGGCTGCTGCTGCTGCTGCTGCTGTGGCTGCGGCTGCGGCTGCTGCTGGATGTAGGGCATCAGGGGGCTTTTGTTGGGATTGGCCATGGGCGGCGTCATTCTCTGACTCAAGTCCGCATTGAAGTGGGTCAGAGGCTTAGTGTTGCCATAAGAGAGAATGTTGTGCTGTTTGTTTAAGGAGTTTGTACCCAAGTTATTTGGCTGCTGATTGATCATGTTCATGTGGTTCTGCGGGAGGTAGTTATTCATTGTCGTCTTCTGCAGGTTGTTTGCCATCGGAGGCACTATGGGGTTTTGGTTGTTAAAGGCTTGGGGGTACATCATAGGGCTATTTGGTTTTTCTGCGGTGAAAGCGGTGCCGTATGGACTGGATGGAGGCCCTAGCGGGGACCAGCTGGAAGTCTGGTTTGGGTGGTGCTGCTGCTGCTGCTGCTGCTGCTGCTGCTGCTGCTGCTGCATGAGCTTGGCCCTCTGTTGTTGCTGCGCCGCCATCTGTTTGAGCTGCTCCGCTGGAGACATGTCGGAGCTGGGCACAGCCCCTGGCCCGGACCCCGCACCAGTGACCGACACTGTTGCCGGATTGAGGAGATAACCATTGCCAGGCCGAGGTGGAGCTTGGCCTGGGGTGTGGGCCGGGTTTGGAGTTGGCGGGGACTGGACCGCACAGTTTGCTGGAGAGCCGGCGGGGTTCGGAGCCGCAGGAGTGTTGGCAACAGAAGGTAAACTGGTGGCTGTGGAGACGTTGGAAAAGGGAGGACCAGAAGAAGAAGGCCTTGTCTGGGGAGATCCCATGGAGATATGTGTAAAAGGAGAGTGAGAGGGGTCACTCTTCACGCTCACGCTTTCCTGGGAGAGAGGGGTCTCCGTCGCTGGCTGCGAGAATTCTGGCTCCTTCTTCTCTTCAAAGTCTTCATTGAACAGATCCTGTATGTCATCTTCAGGAACCGTGTTGGCCAGCTCATCGATTAATTCTTGCCACTCCTGGTCATTCAGGTTAATATCTGAGAACAGCTTGTTCTGATTTGAAAGAGATGTTTCTGATGTGTCTATGCAAGTAGGGTCATCTAGAGGTTCTTGTTTGAGGTCCTTGTTCTGCAAGATGGTGAAGCTGTCTTCCAGGTCACTACAACCATTCACAGGCTGAAGTTTAATCTCTGGGAGTCTACCATTCTTACTTAGGTCTTCTAGGAGTCCAGGAGTGTGAGTCCCGCTATTTTGCAAGGGCAAAGAAGGCTTCAGGTCAAGTTGGTGCAGAGGAGAAGCTGAAGGCAGTGGCATGTTGTTGGGCAAACTGTTGATGGCTTCCATCCCTGTGGGAATATCCTTTCGTATTCTCTTGCTGGTTGGAGAAAAACTCCCATCGCAAGCACCATTCTGCTGGTCTCCATTAAGTGGTGATCGGGCTCCTTCCAACTTCCTTTTCACAGTCTCTTGGAGCTGGAAAAGAAATAGGGAAGAGAATGACTAAATTTCCAGCTCTTTCAGCATGGTGAAAGGTATTGCTGTCCTCTTAACTTCTAACAAGCAGAGCCCACGAAGCTAAAGAGTCAGAAAACAAACTAAAGATTGGAGAGTGAGAATCATCTATTACTATTTTCAACTGAATGCTAAACATGAGACTTGGACCAAAATGTACTATACTTGAGGAAGATGTTAGCACTTACTTAAATTTGTGTCACCTCTCCATTGAGAACATTAAGGAATTAAATCAACAATATTTTTAAAGAACAAAAAAGATCCTCTAAGAATAGAAAATTTAACACATTTACTGAATAGTGTAGAAATGACGATGAACTTAACCCCAAACTTCCTTTGAATTCTTATTTTACAAGACTTCCCAGCCCCTTGTGATACAGTAGCCTGCTCTGCCTAAGGGCATGCCTCTGTTAGTTTCCAAGCTCTCACACTTTCTTGGATTTCTTCCTGTCTCACCACCTGGCTCCTCTTTAGCTTCCTATGTATTCTTCTTTCTTTCCCTTAAATTATGGAATTCTTTATTGTTCCATCTTAAGCTTTTCCCCCTACCCATTCTACATCCTAGCCTAGATGATTTCACACATCATAACAGCGTCCACTAACTTCTCTAGGCTGGTGACGTCATCCGATCTAATAAAAGACTATATGCAGATTGACCATCACTCCAACACACAATATGGCACAATTTTTCCAATAGCTAGAGTTGTAAGTTTGAACTTGTGGTCTGAACACATGGCCCCACTTGCCTGAGTGATATAAGCTGCAAGTAAACCAGGTTTGATCAAGTGCATGTAATGGAGTAGGATTGAAACCCTTGAGAATGCTGTAAACCAGTGTTTCCCAAACTTCTCTCATATGAGAATCACCTGGTGGAGTTGTTAAATTACAGATTCCTGAATCCCAACTAAGAAGTGCTAAATTTTATATATAGGTAAAATTGTATACTTAACTAGTGCTCTAAGACTAGAATTTCTGGGAACATATAGGTAAAATTGCTCTAGCACTAAGTTAAGTATACAATTTTACCTATATGCACTTCTTAGTTGGGATTCAGGAATCTGTATTTTAACAACTCCACCAGGTGATTCTCACCATGAGAGAAGTTTGGGAAACACTGCAACATCTTGACCAAGTCCTTTGCCTCGTGGCATCTGCTACACAATAAAGACTTGGCTTGTGGGCTTGGGTGCTGTCTCTCAGGATATGTAGTCAAAGATGACCACCACAGGATGGCCAGCAGGGGAGGGCAGTTGGGAGGGACCAGGCCTGCCAGGGAGGGCAGTTGGGGGCAATCAAGCTTGCAGGGGAAGGCAGTTAGGGGTGACCAGGCCAGCAGAGGAGGGAAGTTGGGGGCAAACAGGCTGGCAGGGGAGCAGTTAGACATCAATCAGGCTGGCATGGGAGTGGTTAGGGGGTGATCAGGCTGGCAGGCAGAAGCGGTTAGGGACAATCAGGAAGGCAGGCAGGCAAGCAGTTGGGAGCCAGCAGTCCTGGATTGGAGAGGGATGTCCGACTGCCTGTTTAGACCCAATGAGGGATCCAAGATTGGAGAGGGCGCAGTCTGGGCTGAGGGCCAACCCGCCCCTAGTAACAACATATTCAGCCCTCCCTTCTCTGCTGAGCTCCACTAACTCCAATGCTTTCTTACCAGATGTTTCTTTGTCATCTAAAACTCAACACTGAGCTGATTATCTTTGACTACTCAAACCTGGTCTTCACCCATGTTCCTATCTCAGTACTACCCAGTTACCAAATCAGAAACTTGAGCATTCTTCTTGAAACACCTCACATCACTAATCACCAAGTCCTATGAATTCTGCATCCAAACTATTACTCTAATATACCAACTCACCTCCAACCTCACTGCTACTATACTTGGCCAGGATATCATTATCTCTTGTTAGACTGTTGCAACAGTCTCCTTATTGATCTGTGTGTCTTGGTTTCGTTCACCCATCCATTTACTCTTTCATCTATTCTTTGATGCATTGCTTTGCTTTCTATCAATTTATTCACTGTACTGCCACATCTTCAAAACAAACAAACAAACAGACAGACAGACAGACAGACAGACAGACAAAACATATCGCCCTTCGTGCTTATAAACCTACAGTGATTTCCCATGCCTTTAGATTAAAACCCAAAGGAACCTACTTCACCTGGCTCTTTTGGTCATAATTTCAGGCTCATTTTCTTCCTTCTCAGCTTAGCATCACCTCTCCATCCCCTGCTGGACTTTTTCTATAAATTCTCCTGACACTTCAGTTTCTTAAGTGTGCCAAGCTTTGTTCTGCTTCCAGAACTTTGGACATTTTGTTTTCTTTTCTTAGAATATACTGCTTCTCCTTCATCCTTCCTTTTCCCAGGTTAACAGCTGCTTATCTTCCTGGTTGTATTTTAGACTTCACTTACTTTAAGAAATCTTCTCTTATATCCATTCCCCATGGTGTTCTTTGACTCACCTACACTAGGTTGGATATACTGGAGGTAAGTCTTTCTAAGCTATCTATACTTCCTCATCATAGTTCCTACCATATTTTGGGGCAACTGTTCCTAAGTTTCTGTTTAGTGAGCTCCAGGAAGGAGGTATGGCAGCTGACTGGATCACTGTGTCTGGTGGGGCTGCACCTTGTGCTCAAGTTCAGTGCAGTGAATAATAAATAATGGCAAATTGAGTGACTGATTCTGTTGTGCAATTCATAGAGCTAAAAGAGGTGAACTTAAATCAGAGTTGGAAGGTTGTTCCATTGACCATACGGAATGCCCGACATTGAGATTCTGCATCCCCAAGAATGGGATCTCATACTTTGGAGTGTGTTGTGTCTACTTAACTGGACTCATTTTAGTCAAGTTAAGAAAAGTCTTGCTAACTCTATGAATGTATAAGCCGTGAACCTAATTCATCTGTCTGCCCCTTTCCTTTTTGCCAGAAAAGGTAAGTGTGTGGGACTTCTGGTAAAAGCATTTGACAGAAAGTAAGTACTGGAGAAATGCTCAGTGGGTGACAAAAGGAAGACTAGATGGGATTAGCTGGGGTTTTCGTAACTTCACAAAGCTGAGGGTAGAAGGCAGAATGCATGGGGAAGGCAGGACGAGCAGTCCTCCACGGAAGAGAGGAGCAGGATCCCCTTGGACCCTGAAATGAGCACTCACACGTGAAACTGACCAGGCTCTAGAGGAGCCCCATATAAAATAAAACCCATCGGAGATGATGTAGGGATTGTAAATAGTGCCACTTTATTGCTATTCTCTCTTAAGTAGAGAAATCCATGTTAAAAGTAAACAGAAAAGGTCACTGGGTGAAAATCCAGTCTAGCCCTTGTTCCTATATCTTATATTTTTAATCACAACACCAAACACTGTCTGCGCTCACTTAGTAAAAGGCCCTGAATTGCTAAAAACAAAGCCCAAATGGGGATGTACTGGAATTTAACTTCAAAGAAGATACTGGTTCAATGCTTCATATTAGGTAGACACCGTTATAAAATTATGTGCTTTATTGAACAAACCACGAGACTGTGGTTCTGATCATAGGTATGGCAGGTACTTGAATGTAGCTTCAACACAGAACGGCAAGTTCAAATATCATAGCCTCAGGGCCCGAAGGAAACAAGGCGGAGCCCTGGGCACCTCCTGAAGCAATATTTGCCTTGAAACAAACAAGCTCCATCTTAAAGATGAACCTGACTTTACTTTAGAAAGTCTGGGCCCACCATTCATTAGGGCCACAAAGTAGACGGGGCAGGATGGAGAAAATAAAGACAAACACTCTGCTTGTTCCTCAGTAGAATAGTGGCAGCCAAGACCATGGATAAGGGCAGGTTTGGTTGGGAATCACAAGTTTCACTTCTTACCAGCAGAGCAGGTCTACCTGGGTGAGGCTGTAGAGGTCAGTAACATAGACACAAGAGCACTGGGCCTGCAGTCAGAATGCGTGGGTTCAAACCCAAGGCCTCCACTTAAGAGATAAAACATATAACTGTGTCCTGACACTTAATAACTGTTAGCTTATTAGATACTGAGTTATATGAGGGTAGGGACTTCTCTGTTTTGTTCACTACTGAGTCCCCAGCAGCTCACAGTAGACACTTGATAAATACAGGTTGAATGAATGAATCCTGGACAACATGGAATCTCTCCTGAGCCTTGGTTTCCGTATTTGCAAAAGGGGTGAGTAACATGTAGCTTATACAGTTACCCTGAGGCTGAACTTAAATGAAATAACATGGAAAGCTCTTAGCTTCATGCGTGGAATCCAGTAAGCACCCATTAAACCTTAGCTATTATTATTTTTAAAATTCAGGGATACTAATAGCCACAACTACAACTGGGAGAGATTATTTTCCGGATTTCTAAGACACAGATAGGTAGAACGACAGTATTTCTGTTCGCTAGCCTGCAAAACCCTAATGTTTTCCAAGCATCTGGTGAACCTTTTAAAATGTGAAGAACAAAAAATCAAATTTGCAATTCAAGCTCAAGTCCAAGTGCTAATGCATTCGTGTCCTAGATTGTAAAACAGCTCCAGGTTGTTGAGGTTCAAATCAAATAGATTTCCAGCATTCGACCTGAGTGGATGCTAAGAATTTCTTTGTCCTCGAGGGCCTCAAGTTCCCTCCTGCTGGCCCCTTTAACCCAAATCTTGACATATATTTCATGTGTCAGGGTTTAGGAATATAAGAAAGTCACTATGGAAAACACTGAAGCTATGTTATGGTTTTTATATTTTGTTTAGTTGTGTCCCAAATAACATCCCCACTGTCTCAGCATTTGCTGCCATATGAAAAGGTGGTCTGAGAGTCTGATTCTCTTCTCATGCCTCCAGGGAGGGAGAAGGAGAGTGGGTAGGTAGGGATCAAACCTGTGTGCTTGGGAAAGCTGACTAATTCACAAGCACTTTGCTCAGTGAGCATGAGAATAGCTGCTAGCCCTAGTTGGTTGGGCTCAGTGGATAGAACATC